GCAGTCTGCTGGTCCAAGTTTTAAATACAGAGCACACAGAGGAAGGGGGGTTGTTGTGGTTAACCACGACCATTAACCAATAAGCAATTGCTTATCAGTTGGCCGGCGAGCTGCTAACATCCCTAGTTCAGACAGACGGTGTACTCTATTGGAGGTGTCCAGCTCCACATTTCCAACCAGTAGATGCTCCTCAGATGCTATTATTTTAACTCCTGGAATGCCTTTTCCAATTTTCAGGCACTCCTGCCCACAGAGGTAAGGCAGGGATTTGTGGCATTGGTACAGGAGGACTGCACAGAGTCTAAGACAGTGCTGTAGGCGGCCCTGGACTCCAGACCCTGCCACACATACCATGGTCACCAGGTTTCCGGCCTCCCAGCCAAGGTTCAGCGCACCATCCAGGAGCTGCCCTTTGATAGTTCAGGCCTTTTTGCGGAGAAAATGGATTCTTGACTTCATAGCCTGAATTATTCCAGGGTCACGTTAAAATCCCTAGGGGTCCACATGTCCTCCTGCCAGCAACAGCATTTTAGGCCACAACAACTTGGTGGCTTTTTCTCCAGCCCTCCCAGACAAGATCAGGGATGCCATCGGGGCAGGTGTAATAACCATAGGAGACCACCTCGCTTCTCTTCCACGCAGCACCAGTGCATCTCCAAGCAGCCACCAGGGCCCAAGCCCTACTTTTGAGGGTGCATCTGAGGGCGGAGCACTGGATCCTTCCCCTCCTTTTGGGAACCATCTGTCTCACTTTTACCATGGCTGGATTCTGATTACCTTAGACTGTTGGGTCCTGAGCACAGTAGGAGTGGGGTATTGTATCCTGCTCCATTCCTTCCCACCAGCCTCCTTCCCTGTCCCTCTTTGGGGACCCTTCTCACAAGCAACTCCTCCTCCAGGAGGTACAATCACTCCTCACCCTATATGTGATAGAGGAGGTTGCTCAGGAATTCAGGGGTAGGGAGTTCTACTCCTGGTACTTGCTTATTCCCAATGCCAAAGGGGGCCTGCCCCCCATCCTGGGCCTCAGGAATTTAAACACCTTCTCAAAGCTTTGTTTCCGTATGGTCTCCCTAGCCTCCATTATCCCTTCCTTGGATCCAGGGGACTGGTAAGCCACTCCGGATCTCTTGTGTGGACTGGTCCAGGCTGAGGTTGATAGTGGGGTGGAAATTGTTTAAAGCCCCATGGAATTCTTCAAGGGTCTCCTTCCCGTGGGTCCATATGATGATGTCATCAATGTAGCATACAAGTAGAGTAAGGTTGCTGGGGGCGAGAGCTAAGGAAATGTTGTTCAAGGTCAGCCATAAAAACGTTGGCATATTGTGGGGCCACGCGGGTGCCCATATCTGTGCCACTGACTTGAAAGTATAAATTGTCCCCAAATTGGAAATAATTGTGGGTGAGGACAAAGTCACAGAGCTTAGTCATCAGGTGTGCTATGGCATCATCGGGGATAATGTTCCTGACATCCAGTAATCCATCCTCGTGTGGAATGTTGGTGTAAAGGGCTTCTATGTTCGTGGTGGCCAGGATGGTGTTTTCAGGAAGATTACTGATGTTCTGTAGTTCCCGCAGGAAGTCAGTGGTGTCTCGAAGGTAGCTAGGAGTGCTGGTAGCATAGGGTCTGTGGAGAGAGTCAATGCAACTGGATAATCCTGCTGTAAGGGTGCCAGTGCCTAAGACGATGGGAGGTCTGGGATCTCCAGCTTTATGGATCTTGGGTAGCAGATGGGTTGGTATAAATTTGGTCCTGAGTTGTAGCAGGGAGTTTCATGAGCAGATGGTGTAGTTTCTTTTGGTATTCCTCAGTAGGATCAGAGGAAAGAGGCCTGTAGACTGGTGTTGGTGAGTTGTCTGGCAGCCTCAAGTTCGTAATCTGTCCTGTTCATGATGACTACAGCACCCCCTTTGTCAGCCTTTTTTATTATAATGGTAGATTTGTTTTTGAGGCTGCGGATAGTGTTACGTTCTGCATGGCTGAGGTTATATGTCATGTGATGTTGTTCGTTCACAATATCAGCCTTGTGCACATTTGTGGAAGCAATCAATGTAGAAGTCCGGACTCGTGTGACCATCAGGAGGCATCCACATAGAGATCTTCCTCTTGTTGGGTTGGTGGGGGGGCTCCTGAGGGTTAGTGTGATGTTCAGTGGTGTGTTGGAAATATTCCTTCAGATGGAGGTGCCGAAAATAGGCTTCTAGGTCACCACAGAACTGAATCGTATGGGTGGGGGGTTCTGGTTAACCGGTGGGGGCTGGAGCAACTCCCTACCTACTGTGGGCAGGGAGCTGCCCCAGCCCTGCAGGCAGCGTGCTGCCCTGCGGGTAGGGGTTGCTCCAGCATTCAGAGCAGCCTCTGTCTGCAAGGAGCCCAGGTGCCCTGCCACAGGGTTGGGAGCCAGCAGCAGCTCCAGTGTGGGGCTGGGGGCTGCTGCAGCTGGGACAGGAATGGTCCCCAGCTCGAATCCTGCTTCGTCAGTTAACAGCTTAAATGTTATGTCTACCTATCATTTAACTGGTTAACTGATTAACTGGGATTTTACATCCCTAGTTACAAGATATGTCTGATTTAAAGGAACAGGATGCAGGCTTCCTGAATTGGAGCACCAATAGGAGCACACATCTCGAAGAATTCCAGTTACAACACAGGAGAATAACTTCTCCTTTAGAAATATTGTGGTACAGTGACTGGGATTCAGGAAACCTGAGTTGTGTTCCTGACCTGACAGTATAACTTTTTATATTAATAAAAAAAAAAGAGTTAGAACAGGCTTTTATTCAAGGGAAAAAACTCACTGAATTCCATGTTAAGGCTGCCTGGCCTGTCCATAGCTTGCCTTTTTGTGGCTTGCCATTTCATTTGTTTTCCAACTGTTGCATATATGCTGGAGGTGACCAAAACTTTTAACCCAAACTTTTCTTCACAAAAAATGTAAATTTGGTGTTACCAAAACTTTTTGCAATTTTTTGCCAGTTTCAACAAATTGTTTGGGGCATGGGGAATGGAAATGGGGGAGAGGATGTGAATATTTTGTGTTTGATGTTTTTAAAATTCCAAATAACTTTGTTTTGAACATTTCAACTTGATTTTTAAAAATATGCAAAATAAAAACAAAATATTGTGTGTGTTTTAATTAACCTCAAATGTACCTGTAGGTGCTTTGAAAAGGTGTATAGTTATCCAGTAAGTTGGTGGTGAGGTTCAAGGTCACATGGGAAGTTTGTGCTAGTAAAACAACAACAAAAATAAATAAATAAATAGAGCCCAAGGCTCTGATTCCCAGTTCCCTGCTCTCAGAGAATAAATGTGTTCCTTCAGTTGCACTGTAACCACTGGTCATAATAGCAGGAGTCAAAGTGCTAAGGCCGGAATTCTCAAAGGAGCCTAAGAGTGGATGGTTTGCTTACTCTGAGTTTCAAAAGGGGGTTGGACGCTCTACTCTCTTGGGCTCCTCTGGAAATTCCACTTATAGAGCTTCAGCTTTAGAGTTGAACTGAAAGGAGAAACAACCTTAGCTTCTTGATAGTTAATTCTCACATCTTAAAACAAGTGTTGTAAACTGAAGTCTCACTTGACATCCTGGGGTAGTTGAAGCAAAATGCAGGACAATGTAGCACTTTAAAGACTAACAAGATGGTTTATTAGATGATGAGCTTTCGTGGGCCAGACCCACTTCCTCAGATCAAATAGTGGAAGAAAGTAGTCACAACCATATATACCAAAGGATACAATTTAAAAAAATGAACAAATATGAAAAGGACAAATCACATTGCAGAACAGGAGGGGGATGCGGTGGGGGGGAGGGGGAAGGAAGGTAAGTGTCTGTGAATTGCTGATATTAAAGGTAGGGAGAGTGGGATGTTTGTGAGTTAATGGTATTAGAGGTGATAATTGGGGAAACTGTCTTGGTAATGGGTGAGATAGTTCAAATGTTTGTTAAGTCCTTGTTGGCAAGTGTCGAATTTTAACATGAATGACAGTTCAGAGGATTCCCTTTCAAGTGCAGATGTAAAAGGTCTTTGTAGCAGAATGCAGGTGGTCAAGTCATTGAGAGAGTGTCCTTTCTGGTTAAAATGGCAAGAAACTGTTTTTTCTTTGTGATCTTGTCTGATATCTGTTTTGTGGGCATTAATCCTTTGGCGAAGTGTCTGAGATGTTTGTCCAATGTACATAGCAGACGGACACTTTCGGCACATGATAGCATAGATTATATTTCTGGATGCGCAGGAATATGTGTTCTTGATCTTATAACTCACTTGGTTAGGTCCAATAATGGTATCAGCAGAGTGAATATGTGGACAAAGCTGGCAACAGGGTCTGTTGCAAGGGAAGGTACCAGGGTTGGTATTAGTGGTGAGGGACAGCTCTAGTCATGGGGGGAAATACTGCACCTTGAACTTGAACTTTGGTCAGCAAGCAAGTAACTTACAATTTTGTCAGTAATTTTCAAAATTAGAAGTAATGTGTAAGTTTTTAAAAACAAAACCTTTCATGTCATCTTGAACTACTTTCTTGCTGCTGTGGGTTTGTTGATCTCATGTTTAGAAAAAGCTATTTTTGTGGATTATCTATATGCTTATAAACTTTAAAAAGATTTTTCTCTGCCTTCCCATTGTGTCTTGTTAGGGTGCCCTTAGAGAGGGATAATTCAGAAGAATTTTTAAAACGGGAAGCAAGAGCAGCTCAATTAGCAGAAGAAATTGAATCAAGTGCCCAATACAAAGCTCGAGTTGCCTTGGAAAATGATGAGAGAACAGAAGAGGAAAAATATACCGCTGTTCAGAGAAACGCGAGTGAACGAGAAGGACATGGTGTAAACAATAGGTATTTAAAGGGAAAAATATTGCTCTGAGTGTGTTAAAGAACATAAGCATCATACAATGGTAATCTATGTATTGAGACTTAATTTGTCTTTGACGGTTATTATGGCTGCTTTTAAAAAAGAAAAGACAAATTGTTGGAGAGTGGGGAAGAAACCGTGTAATCCGTGTCAGGAAATAGTAATGTTAGGTTCTGCATTAAATTACCCAGTGTTCTGTGAGATTATAGAAGCCACACTGCGAGGGCTTACATGCAGTACCATCAGCTATGTACTGCATGTAATTTTATTTTTGTTCTGAAATTGAACCATTAAAAGAGCACAACATTTGAACTCAGAGGTGTAGGATTTACCTTAATTTTGGCAGAAGGAAGGTACAAAAAAGTACAGCTTATTCATTCTTTGAATTGTCAGATACATCTCTTCTTTTCCATTTCTAGTTATAACACTGAAAGGATTTTTCTGTTTCAGGGAAAACAAGTACGTTCCACCTGTACAACGAAATAGAGATGTCCTAACTTGGGGAGGAGGCAGACAAAATTCATCAAGGATGGGCCAGTCTGGATCTGGCCTCCAAACTAATATGTTCCTCTCTGTGAGTTCATCTTACTTAGAGAAACTCCAAATGAATATCAATAGGCTGCTACAGGTTGGGCCACCCTGGTCTGGCACTGTTGGGACCTGACCGGTCCCAAGTGAGAGAATTTGCCAGACCAGGGGAGTTTTCTTGCCAACAACCCCAAGCCCATCGCCTGCCGCTGGAAGGATGCCCCAGCAAGCACTTTGCCTTGTCCTTACCTCTCTACCCCCAAACCTGGCTGGGCTGTTTGCCCAGTTGCTGCCTGTTCCCTGGGCAGCACAAGCTCCAGCTCCTGCCATGGGACTCTGGCCCTGTGCACCCGGTAGCAGCCGTAGGGCTCCAGTCCAATGCGTTCTAGCAGGCTGCTGCAGGGCTTAACTCCAGACCCATGCTCCCGTGGGCTGCTGCGGTGCCTTGGCCCCATGCTCCTGGGGCTGCAAGGAAACTCCAGCCCTATGCCTACAGTTGCTGCTGTGAGGTTCCAGCCTCAGCCGCAAGCTCCCAGGTCCTGCCGTGAGGCTCCAGTCCCAGTCCTGTGCTGCTCCCAGCTGGGCTGCCGACCCTGTTGCCCTGGCCCGGCTGGCCCTCCTGTCCTTAGGCTCCTGGGCTCTCTGGTCCAGGAGCATCTCTAGTGGTGCTGGATGAGAGATGTTGCCGGACCAGAGTGTGCTGGTTTTTTGAGGTATAACTTGTAGTTATGTGAAATACTGATTGACGAGGCGTCTGCCCTGCACTGGCCCTTTAAGGGTTAAAACCCAGCCCTAGGAGAGGGCTGAGAGAGTGGAGCCCACAGCTGAGACAGAGACAGTCAATTAGGGCCGAGCTGAGGCTGCATAAATAAGGGCTCCTGGAGGGGTGGAGACAGACACACACTTGCTCTAGATGGGGTGCAGGAGGGACCTAGCTGCCAGGGAAGCTGGAGGCTTCCTGAGACAGAGCAGTGCTGGGGAGCTCTGGCCTGACCTCAATCCCAGGCTGCAGGGCCTGAGGCAAGGCCGGAGTGTATTAAGGCTGCAGGGACACAGCCAGTGATAGGAAAAGGCAGCAGGTTGACAGCTCCTTGCTAATGATGAGTGGCCATTTCAGACTGCAGTTTGCCCCTGAGGAAAGGGGCTAGATGACGACTGGCAATGAGGGAGGGTTCTTCTTTGAGAGACGTCCCTGGGAGTGCTCCACAGCAGGTGTACGTGTGTCACAGCACCACAAAGCAGATTCTTCCTTGCAGTGCACTGGGGCCATGCGGCTCCCCCTGGCACCACCGGGCACACGTGGCCACCCTCCCTTCAGTTCCTTCATACCGTCCCCGGCTCAAGACAGAGCTCCGTGGTGCTCTTTGTTCCTCATTAGTTCTTGTAGATATATAGATAATTAGTTAACTCCAAGTTCTTCTCCCTAGTTGTTTGTCAGGTTCTAAAAAACAAAACAAAAAAACTCTTCTCCTGCCGTTTTAAGATCACCCGGAGCAGTGGGCTCACCGGGCTTTAAACACTGCACAGATTGCAACAACGCAGTGCCAGTCTCAGATGGCCATGCTATAAATGTGTCAAGTGTCTCGGGGACTCCCATTTTTGAGGGATTGCCCACACTGCGCTAAACTTAAGGTGCGGACGCGGAGAGACAGAGAAATGATAATGATAGAGAAGGGCAAACACCCTTCCTCAGACACGGGCTCTCAGCAGATTGCCAAGGATAAAGGGGACAAACCAAACAAATCCCCCCAAAAAAGAGCCACCTCTCTCCCACAAGATTTGCACTCGCCTAAACAGCCCTTGATAGAGAGACAGATGACAAAAGCTGACAAATGAGCCTCAGCACATATGATAAACCAGGCACCTCTGGTGCTGACCGAGCTCACAACAGACGCACCTCACACGGCACCCATTTCAGAGGCTACAGGTCATACAGTGCCCGCTTCACAGAACTTGGCACCAACGTGCCTGAGATCACGGTGTCGAAAGTGGTTACCACGGCACTGCAACAACTGACAGGGCAGCCTATGGGCATCACCCCGCCTTTGCTGACCACAGCAACTTTTCACACTTTGTGCTCTACTTCTAGAATACCACAGGTGCCAGCACTGCTTGTAACAACATTACTCTCAGCACCTTTCACTCCTACCATTACCTACCGGCATCAGACACACCTGGTGGTTTCCTCAACTTTTAACTCTCCATTTTTAAGCACTGACAAACCATCTTATTCACCACGATCCAAATACACGTCATCACCTACTGTGTTATCAACTGCTGATGAAGAGGAGCCAGGGGTTTCCTCACCCCAGGTATCCCCACGCACAGAAACATTGGGACATATGTTCCATTCTGATTTTGCCAACCTTACCAGTGTAGGCATGGCCCCCGGGCTCCATACCCATGGATACCATCATCCATGCCTTATCCACCGCAATGGCAATACTGGACCCCATGGTCTCAACATCACAAAAAGAGGCCATATAAGACAAAGCACACTATGAAAGCACTTTCTCCCCTATCCCAATCCCCTTGAATACAGAGGGAAGGGAACGAAATCAACTAACATTACTCCACCAATTTGGGTCCGGATGCATTGCTAGACACAAGCTCATCATTCGTGACAGGCGAGGCTATCATGCGACCACCCTCGGCAACCACTGAGGACTTCACCTCCTTTCAGGACCTTTTTAAGAGAGTCGCAGCTGATCTAAACATTGCAATGGAGGAAGTGCAGGACACACAACACGAGCTTACAAACATCCTACAGGCTATGCTTTCTGCAAAAATCGCTTTACCTATTAACCCAGCTGTAACGCGGGCGCCCCGTCCTGCTCCCCGTTGACTTAGGTCCCCCTCTCTCGGTGAGCCTCCTCACCAACTCATGCTACCCCGCTTCCCCCCTTCCGTGTTGTGTGCCTCTCCTCCTCCTCCTCCTCCTTCGCTCTTTCCTCCGCCTCGCTCTCTCCCGCTCTGTTCTCCCTCCGCCTCGCCCTCTCCTGCTCCGTTCTCTCTCCGTTCCTTCTCCCTTCCTCCCCCCTCTGCTCCCCGGGGCCTGTTTTTAAAAACCGCGCCGACGTCCGGCCCTGATGACATCAAGCGCCGTGTCCGTCGGCTCCTCC